CAAGTTTAAGATCGTCATGCATACAATTTAATAATACGGATACAATAGCTTGTGTTGCACAAGCATTTGTTATAACCTATTGAAATGAAGAAAAAACATCATAGAACTGATTTTAAGAAGAAAAGAAAGCTTTTACTTGTTTGGCAAAAAATATTTCATCAAGACGTGAATCTTTAACCATATTATCATTTGATGCATCAGTTTCTTGCCATTTAAATAAAAAGATCAATCCATGACATGGCCTAAATAATTGCAAATATATATATATTTCTTTAATTTATCAATCGAAAAATTAAATATTTCTACGTCATTTGTTGTAAACTATCATCATCAAGTGAGAAAATTTCTTCGACTTGAACACCATTGGCTCCTAAAAACAATTCAAAAATAAAAAGTTTTTTGAGACATCATTCAAATAGTATATCAAGAAAAAAAAAGGTTGCCTGATTTATTTAAAACTTATATTTGAATGAAATAGTATTGATTACATTGCTTCTGTTAGAATTTTGTAGGTTTATCTAGTAAAAATTTTGTTTGAAATTAGTCACATCTTAAAATTTCATGAGCATTTTTATGCGTCTAACAAAAGAATGTTTTCAACTTATCAATCGCTTACTCATCAAAAGCTACTGGATTATCTGTTATCGATCATGATGATTTCGAATATGATCATAAGAATCAACTTAGATCTTTATATGCTCATTTTCTAGACTAAGAGACATTTTATTAAAACTATTTTGAATCCAGTGAGATTATAGAGCGCAGGAAGTTGTTCACGGAGAGAATCGACATTGGTCGTGAAAAATCTAGATTGGTTTCATCTCTGGAATTGTCTAGGGGAATTTTTCACAGTTATATTTAGAATCAACATGGTCGATGACATACGATTCTCCAGCTATCTATGAGCAACCGATTGATCAGTTGAAAACGTTCTTTCGTAAGTCCTTGTCTAAATGATGTTTTCTTTCTTTTGACCTAGAATGTACTTGTTAATCTCGGATCGTAATATTTTCTTTATTAATCCTATTAACTGTGCATAGGATCCGAACTCCATTTCTATCTCTCTTCACTTGCAGCTGATGAATTATTCCATAGAATATTTCAAAAGTCTATTGAAGATGATCAGTTACTTTCTCAGGTCCGTAAATAAGTCGAAGTCAACTGTTACTACAAACTATGGTTACTCTACTGCTTATATACATGGGCTGGTCATTTGAGATCTATTTTAATAAGACAACTAAATAACTTAGCATCAATTTATAAAAGCATTGTATAAATCACTTGATGACAGAAGACATATTTACATTTTTATCGATTAGAAGATTTTTGAAATACTATATGAACTTAAGGTTCCAACTGATTTTTGGAGTTTTTCGGTTATACTTTATTTATTTGTATAAATGAAAAAATTCCAAAAACAACAAACAAGAAAACCTACATCGCACAAAGAATTTGAAAGTAAGCGTTTAACTATTGCATTTGAATAGATATAGGTCATAATAATATGCATGAGAAGACTGATAAGGGAACTTCCTCAAATGTTCTCTTTCGATTTGAATGATTTTCTTTTTGGCCTATAGATACTCAATTTCTAGAAGGATGTCGGTTCCTATTGAGAATCGACTAAGCTATCGAATTTTGATCTAAAACTTTGTCCATACGAAGAACTCAACTAGATGATCAAATTCGAAAATATGAATTTTCCGAAAACCTGGGCCTCTAGGCAAAAACTTCATTGCTTGATCAGATTTCGATCGAATCACAAATCTTTGAAATCAGAAGAGAACATTTGAGAATTTCCTTTTGAATGCATTGCCGAGATACAGAAACAAGAAAAATATATCTATTTCTCCTTTGAAGACAATCAATTTTCAAATATGTCTAAATATGAATCATAAATCTAATTTTTGCAATATTTCTTAAATATTCGATTACGTCATATGTAAATGAATTTTCAAAATACAATTTTCCGTACCGAATTCATTAATAAGATCAGTAAATACGCCAGGATCTGATTCAATTAAACACCATTCACCAGAAGCCATGTTTTATTAAATTGATCTTCAAAGTAATCTAGAATAATAAAAAGGAAAAGAAAAGAAAAAACAACGTTAATAAGTTTTTTTTTTAAATCAGCTTTATGTTTTGCTATGTATATATATATATATATTTATATATATTGAAAGAATTCAAATTTCAAGAATCATCAATATCAGCAATACCGCGTAATTCTTGACGAGCATGAGCCCATTTTTGTATAAGTCCTGTTGGTAATGTTTTCGCTGGTTTCTAATATAAAAATTCATTAAATAATTAAAAATAATTAGATATTTGTTTATTGCATTACGGATTTTTTATCTTTTTGATGATGATGATGGTGATGATGTGGATGTTGTTCAGGTTTCATATTAGTCATCGTTATTTCCACATCGGAAATAGAAGACATCGATTCAGGTGGATCATAATTAAGTTGAGCATAAAAAAGTTGAAGAGTTTCATCATCATCATTCGACGATGAAGGAGGAAAGGTAGGCGGTGGTGGTGGACTTGGTGGAGGCGGAGGTGGAGGAAGTGAAAGTAGAAGAGCCATATCACTTGATGTCAATGGTGGTTGTAATGGTTCTGTAGTCGTTCTAAAACCAAAAGGAAAAACAGTTTATTTTAAATGTTTTCAGTGAAAATAATAACATACGGTAATGATGTCGAGGAAGTTAGAAGTAATTTTTCAAATTCTTCAATTTGTATTAGAGCTTGTTCTAATTTACTAACAGCATAGGATTTCGATAGATGACCAGAAAGAGAGTCTTCTAAACGTGTCTAAATGAGTAGAAGAAAAAATGAAATTTTATTGTAGAAGATAAAAAAAAAAATATTATATTTACTTCTAATTGAATTCGTAAAGTAAAAATTTCTGTGTTTTTATCATCTAAATCAATAAGACGTGCAATTGCAGCTCTACAATCAACTTCAAATAATGGATATGAATCAGTTTGTTGACATTTTTTATCCTTTTTTTCTTCTTTATCAAGTACTTCATTTAATAGTTCATCAATATCATCAACATTTTCTTCATCATCTCCACTTGTTTCACTTTCCGATGAAGCATATTCAGCAATAATACTTGGTTTTTTAGGTTTTTTTTGTGATTTATTATCAGATATTGATTGTTGGCGTTTTTTTTCTACTTATAACATATAGGTAATAGTAAAAAAAAAAAAAGTTTTGAATCAAAACTTACTATTTACTCCATCGTCACTTGTCGAACTAAATTACAACTAGATTAAAAAGGAGTACAAAAGAAAAAGAACTGCAATTACTTTATAGATTTTTCAGTAAGATGATTTTCTGATGCTATCGAAGGAGGATCCCATGAACATTCATTTGTTATTGTATTCCAATAATAAATTGATTGAGTTGTTTCATCAAAACATTCTTTCCATTCAGATTTTTCATGATTATGATTATTATTAGTTGTTGTTTTTTTACCAAGAACAATCTCATCAATATCCTTTATAAAAGAAAAATATTTTTATCAAATTAATCATAGCCAAAAAAAAAAAAAGAAACATTAAATCACATACAGCCATAAAATCAGCAATTTTTGAATCGATATCTTCATTTCGATTCACTTCAATTTCATTAGTGTTTTCTAACAAAAAAATATAATTTTTAAAATGTAATTCGTTCATTTTTAAAGATTATTTTCGAACCTGTTTGTAATTCACTCGTCATTATTTTAAATTCATTTATTATTTTTTTTGTTTCAATCGATAATGTGTCTAAATATGCATAAAATAATCAAGATTAATAATTATTTAAATAAAAATAATATAAAAATTTATTCTTTTCCATCAGACACTTTCTGTGTACCTTAGACACAGGACGTACATGATTGTATTCGATTTGAGAGAAGAAAAGAAAAGACTATGCTGTTCACCCCTGTCTCTATTGCTGCATACGAACAGATAAAATAAAACACATTTATTAAAAATAAAAGTAAAAGAAAAGAAATTTAACAATAATCAGTTAGTCAAACTCATAGTTGATGACTATGCTAGTTTGTTTTTTTTTTTTGAAAGACAGCTTTTCTGATCAATCCAAATGGAAGCGTTATAGCATTGATAGAACCTAAAATGAAAACAATCATAGATAAAAATTTATTGAAAATAGCATCAAATAGATCAACTTTTTAAACAAAGTTAAACTATTATATATTCAATAGTAGAAGTTGTTCTTTTTCCCATTTCTTCATGGAGATGTGTGTAACGAATCTCCTTTTGCATACATGCTAGATGTCACTAAAAGACAATGAAACGTTCAATCTGCTATATAGTCATTTGTTTCAAGAAAAATAATGTAACATCTATATTTTTATGTTTTTTTTTTATCAGTGAATATGTGCCATTGCAACAATATAGAGAGAGTCAAACTAGAAATGTACAGGTAGATCTCATCAGGTTGGTTCTGGACCTGATTAGGCTCAGGTCTGAAAAATTTTGGATCCACCACACTTTATGTACAGAGTTACCGTACCCTACCCTGTAGCATAGAGTAAAAGTTAGAAAATTTTTCTCATTCAGAGTCTCACAAAAATAAAGTATAGAGTTTTGCGAAAGGGAGAAATTGCTATCCATTTCTGACCTTTTAGATCTTCATATCTCCCTGAAGGAAATATTTCAGCATTTTGAGTCTATGACAAGTTTCGCTTTGCTTATCAAAACTCGAAAAACTCTGAAAAGGTTGGGAGAGGGAATTTTTTAAAGTACAACGAAAAGATAAGGATACCCACCCAGTGAGACAAGAGTTCATTTTAATGCGCAAAAATGCGTTAGTCTTATCGATTTGTCTGCCTGGGAGATGTTCTACAAAAACATTAAAGCTACACACACGTCTTTTTGTTTTTGTCGAATACAGAAAGACAGCATCTGAATAGTCTGACGATAATACATACGTGTATACTGATAAAAATGTTTTCTTTTTTTATGGAAAAGCAATATAGCATGACTATAAGCATTGAGTACCATTCTGTAACGGAAAATGAACAAGAACAAGCAATTAATTTATGGCATCAAATATTTTCGAAATATCCATCAGATCATTATAAACGTTATTACTCAGTCGCCGCAATATCTTATGATCATGGTGATACATTTGATGGTTGGTATAATAGAAATCTTATTAGTACTGTATATATCTGTTAATTAAAATTACATGAAAATGATGAAAAATATCTATGTGGATGAAGGTGTTGGTGCCTGGGTTAGGTCATCGGTGAGAATACATAAAAGATCCGCATTCACACTCATAACCTCGCATTATTACTATGTTAGTTTTTAACAATGTAGTTTAAATAGACGATTTTTTATTCATTTACAAAAAAACATTAATAATATGTCTACTTCATCGAAATTTGATTGGTTAATCGCTGATTAAACAAGTTTTCATATAATTCGATGACTTCGGATTTTTTCTCTTGAATGGGAAAAATCACAAATATCTATGATATTCTTATCAAAAGCTATTCAAATACTAGTGAAGCACATAATATTTTGAAAATGCATAGTATTATTTAGCTTTCGTGTTCCTCTCAAGTTTCGAAGATTACTTATAAGATATTTCAAACTTAACCACCGTTTTTTTTAGTTGAAGTTTTCATGAAAAAAATGGACCTATGAACGATGAAATACTCAGCATTTTGACTATAACTTTTTTTTCTATTCAATTCTTAGACCTGATTATTGTTCTAGATGATGCAACGCTAAATTCCTTACGAATACTTGGTCAAACTTGTTGGTATGGAAAGCTTTGGAGAAAAGTTGAATCGGATCACTAAGTTGGAATAGTATTTTTTGAACTCGAATTTTTTAATTTTGGTATTAAGTGCTTCGCTCATCATTTCTCTGTTGAATTCAGCGAACAAAAAAGTAACAAAAACGGCAAGTTTGAGCCATTATTTTCAAGTGAATGTTTTAGAATGTTCGATTTTTCTATATCCGGCAGGACTCGAACGAATTTTGAATTGCATGACTAGAAGGATCACATTTCAACATACTCAAAATATTGTTTTACTTTTGTTTCATTGTCTCTAGAAATGTTTAAAATACTGTGAAATTTGTAAAATGAAATAGCTTAGAACGCTGGTTTGTTCCACGTATTCAGTATTCTTCGTTTAATTTCTCTCCTTAGCTTTCTACAGAAACAAGTCTGATTAAGCTCTCGTTGAGAAATTGATAGTGCATCATCTGGAAGAATGCTCAGATCTAAGGGTTGACAAGAAAATAAAAGTTTTACTCAAAATAATGATGGATTTATTATTTAAATGCCACCTGATACTTAGCATAGTGAGTATAAATATCAGCTTGTTCTGTTTCTTGTCTGGTTCTTTTCCGTTCGCTTGTAGGCTGATTCACTTGATATTTTCTCTACTCTTTTACGACCAAACGAAGTATTAGACAGTCCTTTTTTTTTTTCTTTTGGGATTATTTCTTTTCCTGTTTTCTAGTAAAATCCATGTGCTTGCGTTTGTCATTCGTATTGCTATCGATTCATATAAATACTCTACCTACATGGGTGCTAGTACTGGTGTTGTCAAAAACAGAATTCATTTACCCAATAAACAAGATTATGAAAAATTAGCTTTTACTTTATCACATATTTTTTCACCCGAAGAATGTCAAGAATGGATTAAAATGAGTGAAGAAATAGGTTACTCAATTGCTCTTCTTAACGTAGGTGGTGACCGTGAAATATTTGCTCCAAAATATCGTGATAGTAGTCGCTGTTTGATCGATAGTTCAGAACTGGCTCAGAAGTTATTTCTACGTTTAGAACCATTTTTACCACGCACTTGGCAAAATGGTCAATTTGAATTGGTTGGACTCAATGAACGGTTACGTTTTCTACGTTATGACCCGAGTCAGAAATTTCTTCCTCATACAGATGGTCAATATCGACGTCAAGATGGATCTGGGGAAGAAAGTTTTCTTACTATACAACTTTATCTAAATGAAGGTTTTCAAGGTGGTGAAACCGCTTTTATCGCCACTGATAATCCAAAGAATAGAGTATCATTTGTTATAAAAACAGGTATGGTACTGATTTTTGAACATCGTATTGTACATGAAGGAACAGCAGTAAAACAAGGACGAAAATATACTATGAGAACAGATGTTATGTATCGACCAATAAAAAACAATTCATAATGAAATTTTATCTTTTTCAAATATGACTATAAATATGAAGGTTATTCGTTTAATTTTGTGCTATTTGTTTGTTTGTATAAGTATTGAGAAAAAAATCATTTATATAATTGAACAGCAACCAAAACTTCTCAATAAAATTAATTAAAATTACAGAGAAATACGATATTAATCATTTTACTGACCAATGAATGATGTTTTATATGGCTGTTTATTGCGCATACAATCTGGCACTATTTTTATAAATCATTTTACGTCATAAAATCTACAAAAATATAGAAATGAAAACTAGAGAATGATAGATATTCTTAAAACATTTATTAGATATTGTTGGTTTTACTTTTATCAGATTTTGGTCATCATTCTAATTCTGTTATTAAAATTTATTTTCTAATGAATTTTTATGTAATTAAAATATTGCTGTGAACGAAGATGTATGTATGTTTCTCAGATGTTTAACTTTGAGCAATCAAAATAAGCATGTTATTTATGGTAATGATTTGAGGTGCAGCTAAACCGCTAAAGCGTCTGTTTGCATGGTTCAATCGAATGACTTACATCTCTAATCAGGAATGAAGCATAAGCAATAGAAAATGCCAGTCATATCGTTTTCTGATATGTTAGTTTATAAAGCAAAGAATACGATTTCGATTACTGTTTGTCCTAGTGAAAAAAAAATAATAGTGAATTCAAATTGAATAAATAAAGTATATTTATTAACATTGGCTTTCATTTATGTTGATAAAGTGTTGCTCTGAAAAACAGTACATTTCTCCACTATTCGTTCTAATGCATCTTTGCAGCATTTTCATCAGAATTGTTCATTTATTTCTTGAAATAAAATCTAATAAGTAATTTGTTTTCAAATCTAACAGTTCCTCACATTCTTGATGTTCATCCACTTTTTATTCTTTCTTTTCCTTATCTTTAACTTGAAAACTTTATGTCTAGAAAGATATTTGATTGGAGTCGCTGTCAATCGGAAAAATAATTTATCCATGAGAATTTTATTCAGAGGTAAATGAAATTGAAATACATGTTTGTATGAATTAAACCAAACCACAGTGATATTCATCGTTTACCACAATGACAACTTTCAACCAGTAATAGCAGCAAACATTAAATTTTAACAATAAGAAACATAAGATAATCCATGAGAATATTGAACAAGTATTCAGCGAGCGTGAAAATATTCGCTCTAATGCTCGATGAAAACTCTCCTCGTGTAAGATCATATATAGTGGGTACCAAAATTGATCAACCACCTTAATCAATTTTTTTGTTTTTTTCATACCTCAGAAGTTAAATAAGCTAGAACTGTCTGGTTTCTGTCATATACTAGTTCATGGTCTGTAGTCTACGTATACAAAATTTGAAGTCAATCTATTGATATATTCAGTTGTAATTAGCAACACAATCACGAAATGCCTTTTTTCATTGTTCCAAAATTGATCAACCACTTGTTGTTCATAATTCAGTGCGCGCCTATTTTAAAGAAAAATTTTCTTTTTGACACACC